ACCCAATCATCCTGGACATATTAGAACTGTACAACGACCTTTCTACTAGCCAATATGACATCATCCTCTGCTGGTTGCCGGGTCACGTCGGCATAGCAGGTAACACTAAGGCCGATGCTGCAGCAAAAGCAGCTCTTGAAAAGCCCCTATCTCCACTGCTAATCCCGTACAGTGATTTCAAACCCACTATCAAAAGCTATACTCGGGACTTGATGCAAAAAAGGTGGGACACCCAAGTAGGAAGAAACAAACTCCATGAATTGAAGCCAACAGTCGGTTATACCTGCTTGGGTTGCCAGTCAAGACGTGATGAAGTAATTTTACGACGATGTCGTATTGGCCATAGTCGGTTTACACATGACTTTCTGCTAAAAACAGATGGGGATGGACCCCCCATATGTCTCTCCTGCGAGGAGGCTCTCACCGTCAAGCATATTCTGCTTGAATGTGTGGATTTTACATCTGCAAGGGACTCGCATTATCACGCAACCAGTCTGAAAGATCTGTTCTCCAGCGTGAGCGCTCATCTGATACTAAACTACCCGAGGGAAGTCGATCTATATCATAAAATGTAACTGTGTAATGTCAATAACGAATGTGTCTGCTTTTCAATCTAGTGCTATGACATTCTCTGTTCTAAAATGACAACGTAATGAATGTATGTCTTTGAAACGAAACCACTTTGTACTTACAATGTATATTAATGCAGACTTGTTCTCGTCACTATATGGCTGGAATAATGCCGATGTGACGTAAAGCCCAACTCAACTCAACTCAACTCTATACACACAACCAACACAGCCGTATACCTGTGCCTCTCTATACACACAACCAACACAGCCGTATACCTGTACCTCTCTATACACACAACCAACACATCAATATACCTCTCTATACACACAACCAACACATCAATATACGCCTCTATACACACAACAACACATCAATATACGCCTCTATACACACAACCAACACAGCCGTATACCTGTACCTCTCTATACACACAACCAACACAGCCGTATACCTGAACCTCTCTATTCACAAAACCAACACATCATTATACCCCTCTATACACACAACCAACACAGCCGTATACCTGTACCTCTCTATACACACAACCAACACATCAATATACCTCTCTATACACACAACCAACACATCAATATACCTGAACCTCTCTATACACACAACCAACACAGCCGTATACCTGTACCTCTCTATACACACAACCAACACAGCCGTATACTTGTACCTCTCTATACACACAACCAACACATCAATATACCTCTCTATACACATAACCAACACATCAATATACCTCTCTATACACACAACCAACACAGCCGTATACCTGTTCCTCTCTATACACACAACCAACACAGTCGTATACCTGTACCTCTCTATACACACAACCAACACATCCGTATACCTGTATCTCTCTATACACACAACCAACACATCAATATACGTCTCTACACACACAACCAACACAGCCGTATACCTGTACCTCTCTATACACACAACCAACACAACCGTATACCTGAATCTCTCTATACACACAACAAACACGTCAATATACCTCTCTATACACACAACCAATACATCCGTATACGCCTCTATGCACACAACCAATACATCAATATACGCCTCTATGCACACACAACAAACACAAACACATCAATATACCTCTCTATAGACACAATCAACACTGCCGTATACCTGTACCTCTCTATAGATACAACCAATACATCAATATACCTCGCTATACACACAATCAAAACTGCCGTACACCTGTACCTCTCTATACACACAACAAACACATCAATGTACCTCTCTATACACACAACCAACACATCAATATACCTCTCTATACACACAACCAACACATCAATATGCGCCTCTATACACACAACCAACAGCATACAGCCGTATACCTGTACCTCTCTATACACACAACCAACACACAATCAATATACCTCTCTATATTAACACAACCAACACATCAATATACCTGTACCTCTATACACACAACCAACACAGCAATATACCTGTACTCTCTATACACACAACCAACACATCAATATACGCCTCTATACACACAACAACACATCAATATACGCCTCTATACACACAACCAACACAGTCAAGTATACCTGTACCTCTCTATACACACAACCAACACAGCCGTATGCCTGTACTCTCTCTATACACACAACCAACAAGACCGTATACCAACACAAACTGTATACCTGCCTCTCTATACACACAACTTCAACACATCAATATACGTCTCTGCCTCTCTATACATGTCAATGTCTCTTTTCTGCTCCACTGTGTATACCTGTTCCTCTGTCCACTGCTCAGTCGTATACCTGTGCCTCTATACACTGTGTTTGTCCATGTCTCTTTGTGTCAATGTCCTCCTGTGTGTGTGCCTGTGTCTGTCTCATCTGGATCAATATGCCTCTGTGTCCATGTGCCTGTGTGTGCTGTGTGTGTGTGTGTGCCTATGCCTGTTGATCATGTGTCTGTGTGTGTGGCCGTGTCTGTGTCTGTGTGTCTGTCTGTCTCTGTGTGTGCCTCTGTGTGTGTCTCTGTGTGTGCTCACCTCTGTGTGTGTGTGTGGGTGTCTGTGTCTCTGTGTCTGTGTCTGTCAGTGTCTGTCCAATGTGTGTGTGCTGTGTGTCTGTGTGCTGTGTGTGTCTGTGTACCTGGTGTGCTGTGTGTCTGTGTCTTTCTGTGTCTGTGTGTCCTTGGTCATTATACCTGTGCCTCACACATCCATTATCTCTTTGTCCATGCTCACGTCTCTTTGTGTCCATACCTGTACACTCTCATACTGCTGTGTGCCTCTTTGGCTCCTGTGTGTGGGATCTGGATCTCTATTTGTCCATATTCTTTATCCATTATACCTCTATATTTTCCTTCCTTTCCATCCATGCCTCTATCCATTCTGTGTCTGTGTGTGTCTGTCCATTATACCTCTGTGTGTCTTTGTGTCTGTGCCTCTGTCTCTGATTCTTTGTCCATGCTGTGTGCCTCACTGTGCTGTGTGGCCATGTGTCTCTGTGTCCAATGTGTTTGTCAGTGTCCATGCCTGTTCCTTTTGTGCTGGTTATGCCACCTCTCCGGCTTCCTGTGTCTCTGTGCTGTGTCTCTGTGTGTCAGTGCCTCTTTGTGTGTGTCTGGATCTCTGTCAGTGTCTCTGTGTGTGTCTGTGCCTCTGTCAATGCCTCTTGTCCGTGTGCCTGTGCTGTGTCCAGTGTCTGTGTGTGTGCCTCTGTGTCAGTCTCTCGTTGATCAGTGTCTGTCCATGGTCCTGTGTGTCTCTGTGTGTGTCTGTGTCTGCCTCTGTGTGTCTGTGCCTCTCCTTTGTGTGTGTGCCTCACATCCAGTGTCTCCGTCTCTGTGCTGTCTGTCTCAATGCCTCTCTGTCCGTGTCTGCCTCTGATCCAGTGTCTGATGGTCAGTATGCCTCTGTGACCGTCCAGTATGGCCTCTATGCATCAGTTATGCCTCTGTGCTGATCAATTGTAGGTGTGGACCTGAAATCGTCAGTATGCCTCTGTGCACTGACCAACACATCAATATACCTCTCTATACACACAACCAACACAGCCGTATACCTGTACCTCTCTATACACACAACCAACACAGCCGTATACCTCTCTATACACATAACCAACACATCAATATACCTCTCTATACACACAACCAACACAGCCGTATACCTGTACCTCTCTATACACACAACCAACACAGCCGTATACCTGTACCTCTCTATACACACAACCCACACATCAATATACCTCTCTATACACACAACCAACACATCAATATACCTCTCTATACACACAACCAACACATCAATATACGCCTCTATACACACAACCAACACATCAATATACCTCTCTGTACACACAACCAACACAGCCGTATACCTCTACCTCTCTATACACGCAACCAACACATCAATATACCACTCTATACACACAACGAACACATCAATATACCTCTCTATACTCACAACCAACACAGACGTATACCTGTACCTCTCTATACACACAACCAACACAGCCGTATACCTGTACCTCTCTATACACACAACCAACACATCAATATACGTCTCTATACACACAACAACACATCAATATACCTCTCTATACACACAACCAACACATCAATATACCTCTCTATATACACAACCAACACAGCCGTATACCTGTACCTCTCTATACACACAACCAACTCATCAATATACACCTCTATACACACAACCAACACATCAGTATACCTCTCTATACACACAACCAACACATCAATATACCTCACTATACACACAACCAACACAGACGTATACCTGTACCTCTCTATACACACAACCAACACAACCGTATACCTGTGCCTCTCTATACACACAACCAACGCATCAATATACCTCTCTATACACACAACCAACACATCAATATACGCCTCTATACACACAACCCACACATCAATATACCTCTCTATACACACAACCAACACAACCGTATACCCGTACCTCTCTATGCACACAACCAACACATCAATATACACCTCTATACACGCAACCAACACATCGATATACCTCTCTATACACACAACCAACACAGCCGTATACCTGTACCTCTCTATACACACAACCAACACATCAATATACCTCTCTATAAACACAACCAACACAGCCGTATACCTCTCTATACACACAACCAACGCATCAATATACGTCTCTATACACACAACCAACACAGCCGTATACCTCTCTATACACACAACCAACACAGCCGTATACCTTTCTATAGACACAACTAACACATCAATATACCTCTCTATAGAAACAACCGACACAGCCGTGTTCCTTTCTGTAGACACAACCAACACAGCCGTATACCTTTCTATAGACACAACCAACACAGCCGTATACATGTATCTCTCTATACACACAACCAACACAGCCGTATACCTCTCTATACGCCTACCTTGCTCTTGGACAACCAGTTACGGAAGGTACTTGCACCAGAACTTCTTGTCATCACGCCTTCGGGGGGATCTTAAATGTCGAAAAAGAAGGAAAGATGACGAAAAGTAATGGTTTAAATTGATACATTGCTTTATTTGGAATACAAGTAAATTGATAGATAGATGATAGATGGCCTCCAGTTGAATTTGACTATCCTGTTACAATTAGTCATTAAAACGAATACCAACAGAAGAAGCATTGTGTCAAGTAAAACTAACCGTTGTGCATTTGAACAAAGTTCCAGAATATTTACTTCTTTAACGCAAGTCTAACAGCAAAATACAAGAATAGTTATGGCCATGTCACTTGACGTTTAATAAGTTAAGTTCATACTCACATGTACACGTTTAACAAGTTAAGTTCACACTCATATGTACTTTAATACTTCTGCACTATTTAATCACTTTCTTCCTTCGGAGAATCAGTTTGTTGAAACAGGTAGATATAGTCATGGAATTCTGTTAGATGATTCTGTGATACTTGAGCTTGAGGTGTAATTAAGTTAGAGAATCCTCAACATAAACTGCGTAGACGTTTATATGTATTTAGAGAGAAGTTAGTACCTACCAGCGGTAAAACTGTCGCATTTGCAGATAAGGCGTTTGTGGTCTCCAAACATGTCATGAAAATGTTGAAACTTTGGTTGTAGAGCGTTTATTGCAGCAATGTCTAACTCCTTTTCTCTGATCCATTTCCATTTCGTTTGACTGGAGACAGCCGGATTCCTGAGATCATTATAAAAGCTGTAAGGTATAGTCTTATTTATAAACATGACCTTTGCAATGCGACTTGGATCAATTTGTGTAACAACAGTGCATGCTGCACATTGATGTTCATGATCTTGGTGAGCCAGTTCCCTCATAGATCGGGACAATCTCCTTCCAAGGTCGGGGTTAGTGTCCTTAATGAAGTCATTCACGAATTGCATGTTTTTCTTTGGTGAAACAGTAGAAAGGACCTCAAGAACACGTTGATTCCTTTCTCCATGGGACTCATGTTTCCGAATTTCCTCTTCATCAGATTCACTCAGGAGGTCATTCTGAGCCATGATGTCCAGCAAATGAGTTCCCCTTGTGTTAAGGCATGACATTAGTTCTTCATGGTGATGGGAGAGTACATGGGGGAAGATGTGATGATCTGGTAAAATATACAAAGTAGACAAGTCGTCTAAGATGCAGATATTTGCTGTACATAGTTCCACCCCTTACTCACCCAAACCACTGATCTGTCCAGATTAAGATGTAGTGAATGCAATGGGTTGTTTCCGACCATGCCTAATGGTTTCACCCATGCGTTTACCATGGAAGCAATTCCTATCTGCAGGGTTTTCGTATACGTCAATCTTATCTTTTAAACCAATATTTCTCACGTCAATATGAAACTGAAATACTGTTACACCCAACCTGTAATGTCCAGATGTTTTGATGAATAACAAAACAATCTAAATCTACCTGCTTTAGCTCCAGCTTCACTGTCATCATCTGTAGGGTTTTCGTAATCGGGTTCATCTTCACAACTAGCTTCAGACATGAAGAGCTCCATCAATCTGTCCTCAGAACGGAGTAACTCCTTCTCCAGAATGCTCAACTGATCCCCATTCAAACTATGGACGTTTGCTCGGTTGCAGGAGACCCTGAGTCTCTTCTCTAGCAGCTGAAGGCTATAGTTAAACACCCGCTCTAGGACATGGCGCTGTTGAGAGTCTGGGACTGGACTTTGTGAAGAGGTCAAAGTCGTTTGTATGATATACCTTATATACGACCCCCGACTCTTCAGTAACGGAGGGTGTTCCTGATTGTTAGATGATATATCCATGCTTCTGGAAAATCTAAGACACAGACTCATTATAAATCAAGTATTTATTACAGAACATGCCAGTAGACCTCTAAAGGGATTGTGCTTCAATGTAGAATGATATTGATTATGGTCACCCACATCATGTGATGCAGTTGCTAAAACATGTGGCTTAAAGATTCGTAGGAAGTCAATCACTCATCCCCAGCACTAGTCATTCATCGGCCAATGTAAGCTGCATCACACACATCCCCAGGACCAGTCATTCATCGGCCAATGTAAGCTGCATCACACACATCCCTAGGACCAGTCATTCATCGGCCAATGTAAGCTGCATCACACACATCCCCAGGACTAGTCGTTTATCGGCCAATGTAAGCGGCATCACACATATCCCTAGGACCAGTCGTTCATCGGCCAATGTAAGCTGCTTCACACACATCCCTAGGACCAGTCATTCATCGGTCAATGTAAGCTGCATCACACACATCCCTAGGACCAGTCATTCATCGGTCAATGTAAGCTGCCTCACACATATCCCTAGGACCAGTCATTCATCGGTCAATGTAAGCTGCATCACACACATCCTTAGGACTAGTTGTTCATCGGCCAATGGAAGCAATCCACTGCACGGTAAAATACCAAACGTAATGAACACTTTCTTGTTTCATGATCAGATATTTTAATTGGAACCACAATATCTATTATACTAGCTTCTAATTGTGGGCATGATGTATGTTGCTCCAATTTAAATGAAGGTACGGATGAGAATGTTACCTTCTTTACAACCATGGCTCACATATGTACAGCAGGGGCATGTTTGCAACTGTTTTCGGATTAATGCAGTCGTCAGGACTCTTGTATCTGTCCCGGGCGAAGCAAAAGATACAATATTACAAAGGTTTCGTTGGCATGGGGAGTCTAAAGAGTATATTTGCCTTAACTCAATTAGGCCACACGGTGAAGTGTAGAAGACGTTTACCAGCACTATACGGCATGGCACAAGTCCATTATTGAGGTATAGCTGTACGTAAATAGAGTTCCAAGTCCTGCATCAAGTCAGCAGCGCAATATAAGTACTTGCTTTTTTCTTAACGGTGAACATACGAAATACCTGAGCCCGCCACCTGAGACTGCAGTACACCAACTAGGTTCCTCTGTGATAACAAACTCGTTCTGCAGGTTTAGTATGAGCTATGACGTCATACATTGGAATAACCTATATATACGACCTGCATGTTCACCGTGACGTAGTAAATGCGACAATAAACTGAATGAGCTTAAAAACGGACAAATCTTGAGTGCTGACATCACCGGATCGATGTTAGACATATGACCCGTATCTTCTGTTTAACAGGGGAACTCTTTCACGCCTAGGCTACCCATCCGCCTAAACTACGAACGCGTAACAATAACATACACTTCATACATTTGTACACCGAATAATATACTAAATTCTAAACACGTCAATGTTTGACTTTTCAAGCCAATATCGATATTTTCAGTACCGACTTTACTGTATAGAAAATGTTGGTCCACGCATTGTGGTAATCCATTCTTATTTTAAAACATGACATCGACTATGACTGTTCAAAATAAGCCCTACCTCTGGCATCCAGTAGCATCACCGCCTTGTACCCCACCTGTTGGGTAACCTGTCACTCAGCGTCAAATTTCAGTTTCATACAGCAAGCGTTCAACCTGCACCTCAACAGTAAAGGCAGATCTCGGCTGATGGCATTCATTCGCGATTACTGTCATATGTATAAATGCTATATAGGCTACTAGAAATAGTATTTGGGGGAGTCGATGACATTCAATCTATTCTTACCTCAGCTATAGAAAGGACTTAATTTGTCAACACAACTGCGTCGTCACACTTGGTAAGCTTCTATTGACGATAACCACCTCATGATGCTAAAGCAAACCTACATAGTTACCCAACGTTGACACGTTCCGATGGGCAGCAGATCATTACCCTTGCCACACCCGGGTTGTAGGTCACAGTCAAGGCGTATATACCAACACCACTGATGCTTCAGGGGTTTACACTTTAAATACAGCTCTGTAAGTGGACCCAACGTATTTTTTTATGGAAAGAATTAATATGCAGGTTGGTGTCCCTCGCTGAGTCTCGTGTGTGAAGTCAGGTATTGTCTGTTTATGTGTCGTGAGTATCGGTGTAGGACTAGCTTACGCCAGGACAAAAACCCACGATGTTAAGCAATAGATAGATCTGCACTATCCAAGTTTCGCTGTGGCGTTGCTCCTATCATATGGAATCCTGAAAGCGACATTGTCGCGTTGTCGCATTGTCGCGTTGTCGCCCTCTCAAATACAAGCAAAATGAGGCAAAATTAACCAAAGCGCTACAACGTGACACGCGACATTTTGGCCATTTGTCGCATTGTCGCGATGTCGCATGTCGCGTTTTGAATAATATAATATTTTTCGATTCCTCCAAAGGGCGACAATGCGACATAGCGACAATTTTCAAGGTCAAAATATGAGGCGTTGTCGCATTGTCGCCCTATCTAAGATGTGTGAAAAAAGCCTAAAATTGACTAAAACGCGACACGCGACAATGTGACAACGTGACATTTCATGAAAATGTCGCGTTGTCGCATTGTCGCGTGTCGCGCTTTGTTAAAATATTGAGTAGAGTATGTAATATAACATATTGAGTAAAACGCGACAATGCGACAATATATATGTCGCATTGTCGTGCTTTGGTTAATTTTGCCTCATTTTACTTTACTTGTTTTTGAGAGGGCGACAAATCGACAATGCTACAACGCGACAATGCCCCTTCTCGGATGCCATACGATGCCCGACCTCTTGAATTCTACCTGTTAGCAGATGTCTGTAGTAAGTTCCTTTGGATCATAACAAAATTCAAACCTTCAATATACCTCTCCCAGTAATGCAGAAGACATGTGCAAAATTTGAAATGAATCCGATGCATTTTTCTTTCTGCAACCGGTCGGACAAATGTACAGAGAATCACAATATCCCCCCTGCCCCGCTTATTTGCTAAAGTCATGCGGATCCTATCCTTCAAAGAAATTCAAAAGAAATTAGGAAAGGAAGGAAACGAACCTTGTACTAAGTGAAAATCCAATTCGTTTCCATGGAAACATAAAAAAACAAACATTTTTTTAGAAATCTGAAAATATCTGATGCACATGCAAAGATTCAAAAAAATATATTGAATGATTTTTTAGTTTTGCTCCGGAAATGAACGGATTTTGATATCGAAAACTGATGTGAAACGTTAACTTTTCATTTCCACAAACATAAGCATATTTTTTTTAAACATAAATTTTTCAAAAGGACCTTTGAATGTGGGCTGTTCATTTGAAGATTCGAACGTCAATGTGGATTCAGTTCGACTCAGTTTCGCTCGACATCACATAAAGATTTACACAGTTACCTCCCTCAGACCAGGTCTCCAGAGATGCGAAGAAGGAAATTTGAAATACAATGATTCTGACGTTTACAGACATCAACACAACAATATTATCCATTTAAATCTTCTTCAAAGCAACGTTTCATAACCATGCTTTAATCACTGTATTCGTGCCTTTCTTGTACAACTATTCGGTGCGTTGTTATCAATTTCCCCCATGAACCAACGACAACAGTTTGCTACACAGTTGCCTCCCTTTACCTGATCGGGGCGAGTCTACAGACCATCGAAAATGAGAAACATGTTCTGAGGTTGTCAACACGTGTACATGGCCCATGCTGGGTATTAAAACAGTTTATAGGGGGAAAGTCCTCGGTAGAACAGTCCTTTTGTAATAAAAACTGATTTAGTTATAAATTTGACAAAGATTGACATTAAAGATTAAAAGAAAGCATGAAGAAATCACATATAATGACAGATTATTTTTTTAAGTTGATGTTTGATCTTTAAAACGACATCTAAAAAACCATGATGTGCTCACGGATTGAATATCTAAACTGACCTTTGATCTGAAGTAGAAACTGATTCCGACTTCATAAATATCATTAGACTACCTGTGGTGCATTATGTAACTTAAAACACATAATGTTAACTGTAGACATTTCGTATGATTTATATATCAACATTTCAATACGTCATAAGACCTTTATATATGTAGTGTGTGTGACAATAACAAATAAAAAATTAAAAAGCATTGTGTGTCTGTAAATTTCTTGTTAGAAAATGAAAAGGTGGCTCTTTTCCGAAGGACTTTTTAACCGGCACATTTTTACCAAACACCTTAGAACAATGCTTAGCCGCTTCTCGGATTTCGGTAACGTTGGTCGGACATGATTATCTGGTAGCGCTGGTCGGACATGATTATCTGGTAGCGCTGGTCGGACATGATTATCTGGTAGCGCTGGTCGGACATTATTATCTGGTAGCGCTGGTCGGACATGATTATCTGGTAGCGCTGGTCGGACATTATTATCTGGTACATCATCTGTATTACTAGAAATCAGTCAGCCGAAAACAAATTTGGTTACATTTAATTCAACACATTTAATAATTTGAAGAACGTGTGACGTGTGTACGCAAAAGACACAGGGAATAATGTATAAGTGTCCGTGTCATATCATAGTATGTTTATGACACCAGAGTAGAATTCTAATATTTCCCGAGCAAAAGCGAAAACGATATTCTATTCATAGACGTAGAAAATATTTTTTAAATATATCTTAATTAATATTTAGGTCAAAGGTACGCTAAATGTTACTTAAGTTTGATGACGTTATATAAAGCAAGTAACCAGAAAACATTTGACCATGGAGACTATATAACGATAACGTTGTAGATGATCCCTGATTTTACGTATGCGATAAGAATGCATTTAAAGGGGTACTGATCTCTGGCTTCAACCCGCCAGTCTGACTCTGCCACCTAGGTGACACAAGCTGCCGCGAGACCGTCGGCGGACACAGCTTAGATTGGCATGAGACTGGGCTACTGGACCGGTATCTGTAACAAACTTGATCCAGTGTGTATATGCATACAAAGGGTGAGTGTTAACTATCTTCTTCAAGCTAAACAGGCAGACTGAGCAAAAGGAAATATCCCAGGTCACACTGATTTTGACCCTATTCCTGTGTTTTGTACCTTGATATTTAATCTTGCCATGTAAATAATGTCATGTCAATTTACCTATAATATTATAACCACACATGTGATTTCTTTCAAGCCGTGAACCAAATGAACCACATTTCACCATTATTATAATAATAAGTTCGCGGCAATGTGTGAACATATGATATATGCAACAATAACGTCCCGTTGGCATCCTCCATACAGCCAACAACCATTGGGTGTCTAAGGTATCTATGTTGCATATAATACCATGATTACTATTCCCATCTTGTAATCCATGTTTGGTCTTATAAATTTTCACCTGTGTATTTGTTATCATTCAATTCATGGCCAAAGGTTCCCATTTGGCATTTCTGATGTCTGGGGTAAATCACCAAACCTTATAAATTCAGGTCTGGAGTCAGGTCAGGAGTATATAAATTGATTTAAAAAACACCGATCAAAGGTTTAACCGATAATACGTTTATTGCGTAATCACTTTTATCTTGCACAATGGAATTGTGAAAAGTGAGTGTTTATGTATGTAGGTTTATTTCCTCAGACGGAATACACACATATCGTTTCGTAAAGCGCCTGTGTAAATACAACGCCCTTCAACGCCTACAACATTTCCCAACTAATTCCAAGACGAAACTATAGTTCATCTATCCCCTATCAAATACCTTTTACAAAAGAGATCGCGAACCAGTCAGGAATTATGGTATATCATCAGCGATTTGGAAAAAAGTCAGTAAGCAAGACAATAGCCAGACCCAAAGAATTGCTCTGGATCAGTGCCCCTTTAAGAGTTTGTTCTGAATTTATATGTATTAGTAGTTCGCAATAATAAGGAACTGTTGTGTTCCTTTATACCAATATACGTTCTGCTTGTTCTGAACCCGTCGTTTCACGAGACAGGCTTAGTGCCGTATTGCAGTAGGGAAGTTTCCTGTACGGATGAAAAAACGTAGTGCATTATGAAAACAGTTCCCATGTCATTATCAACTAATCATTGTCTCTCCGCGACACGATGTGACCCATAGGCACCTATGTCTTTTATGCTAAAACTCGGAGGTAATACATCAGCACACGTCGCTGTCTCCCTAACCCTTAGAGTGTATTGTAGATCATTGGCAGAAATGAACTAAGATATCCCCAGTGTCAAATGGACATAATATCTTATTGCGATTATTGTAAAATGATAGTAATTTCCAAATGCATCCTCATTTCGGTAATAGAATCGTATTGCGATACCACATGCACCGACATCATATGTAATACGGCGAAAGTGTCACGGTGTTGCCATGGGAACAGATACAGCGTTTGTCATAGATCTACATGTCAGCAAAGCTACAACCATATTTCTTTCCTCTCCACATCCAACAGATTTATACATGAAACAGTATTGTGCATGTGGTAAATACAAGATTTCCGGCACACGCACATGTCAGCGCATGCTATCTGACCCTCGCGTCTTCACTGTTCATTACTGACATAGACCCAGGACCTGGTTATTTAGACGA